ATATATTTCGCTATCACAACGATCGGAGTCAGAATATGGGGCACTCAGCAGAAGACATGGGGCACTCAGCATTAGACATGGGGGCCTCAGCATTAGACATGGGGCACTCAGCATTAGACATGGGGCACTCAGCATTAGACATGGGCACTCAGCATTAGACATGGGGGACTTAGCATTAGACATGGGGGACTTAGCATTAGACATGGGGGCCTCAGCATTAGACAAGGGGCACTCAGCATTAGACATGGGGCACTCAGCATTAGACATGGGGCACTCAGCATTAGACATGGGGCACTCAGCATTAGACATGGGGCACTCAGCATTAGACATGGGGTACTCAGCATTGGACATGGGGCACTCAGCATTGGACATGGGGCACTCAGCATTAGACATGGGGCACTCAGCATTAGACATGGGGCACTCAGCATTAGACATGGGGCACTCAGCATTGGACATGGGGCACTCAGCATTAGACATGGGGTACTCAGCATTGGACATGGGGCACTCAGCATTGGACATGGGGTACTCAGCAGAAGACGTGAGACAATCAGCATTAGACATGGGGCACTCAGCATTAGACATGGGGTACTCAGCAGAAGACGTGAGACAATCAGCATTAGACATGGGGCACTCAGCATTAGACATGGAGCACTCAGTAGAAGACATGGACACTCAGCACAAGACCTTGGGCACTCATTGGAAGACCCGGGGGACCCATCAGAAGACCTTGAGCACTCAGCAGAAGGCCTAGGGCATGTGCCAGGGTGTAGCAACGTCCTCTGCCTGTACATACAATAGAACGTGAGAGGAAATATTTCAAAATTGAGGAAAGTTTTTTATGGTTGTCACTGAAACTGGCGCCCCCATTAGAAGCTTTTCCCTCACTTATATCTAAGTGATAATGGTCACCAGCACAAACAGAGAGAGTGAATCCCCCCAGTGGGGGGACAGACAAAAGTAAAATCTTTCAAAGTTACATAGTTACATAGTTACATAGTATTTGAGGCTGAAT